AGTTGCTTTTACCCATCTAGAAAACTCTAAAAAAAAGTAATACTGACGGTCTACTACCTTTCCAAATGGGGAAACCAATTGGTGAAGGGCTGTTATTCTATCACCAAGCTTCTCCTTCCTAACCTGTGAAAGCAAAATAAATATTTTTACAGATTTACCAAACTCAAAAATACAAATTAATGGCAACAAATAAATATAATATTTATGTTAAGTTCAGTTAGTTTTTCCCAAACAAGATTGTAAATATAATATTTATCATTTGAATCAAGGGCTTTTAATTTAATTAGAACTAAAAGGTTTCATGTCCTGTCACTTTTTGTAGCTATGAATGAAACCTACTGCACGTGAAAGTAGTAGAGGGGATCCACATCCTTAACAGTTTTAATATTTATATTATTAGTATGATAAAAAGCCGGGTTTAGTGATTAAATATGGGGTAGATATGTAAATTACACCCATTTAATCAATGAATGGCTGAATTCATATAAATCAGAGTGATTTTCTTAAAAATGGATTCAATCTCAGTGATTAAGCACACCATCAAACATAAAATTTCATTAAAAAGTATTGAATATTAAACAAAATTGAAGAACCTTTTATAAACATTACAGCACAGCCAAATTTTATCTAAAAAAAAAATTATATTTTTAACAGTTCATCTTATAATGCAATAATATTTTTTTATATAAACATCTAGCAACTTTTGTCAGCTTTCAAAAAAGAGAGAGGGGAGTGCATGTAGGCTTAGGGTGGGTTTGAGACAGTTTGTGCGTTTCAGGATAAGCTATCAGCTTATCCTGAAGCTCGGCGTGTGGGTCGACCGCGAGGTTCGACTCGTGGCCAGCATTTAGTATAAAAATGGAACCATATTTTCGGATAAGCGGGCAAAACATGCGAATCAAAAGGTAGCGTGGTGTTTTCAAAATTGTTCCCGCACTTACAAGCTACCACCCCAAACGGGCCCTTAATGAAATACAACCTTTAAGGTACTTGGCTGTGATAACGAGGACCCTTGAATCCTAGCCTTCTTCAAAGCTCCTCCATTTACTGTGCTGTTGCTCTTCAGAAACCAAATAATAATAATAATAATTCAGAATATAAATTATTAAACTAATAAAATAAAAAGTTTAAATTTTTTTTCTATTTAATTAATTTTTCTCTCACCTCGGATGGTGGATCTGAAAGTTGATGTTTTTTCTCTGCCTTCTTGCCAGTGAAATTCAACATATTGCTGCTGAAACTTGAAGTATCAGGAGAAACTGTTACAGTCTGACTCCATGAACTGGAGCTCAAGGCATAGCTAGAGTCTTCAGAGTTCTCTTGTTTCAGATCTTGAATTTGAGCTCCTTGTGATTGGTAAATCAGCTGCTGTTGGTAAATCAGCTGCTGCTGGTTCTCTAAATTCTCCATTCTTTTGGTTTGAAATGGAGCACTTAGGCTGTATCTTTCCTCTTGAGCAGCTATTCCTCCTCTGCAAGACAGTAATTATTAATTCTAATAAAAAGTATGAGTTTAATCCTTTTGTCAGAATAAATGCAGAAAAAAAAGTATAAATTTATGGTTTCTAATAATCAGCAGTTTTTGTATCTACGATAGTATCATTAATATTTATTTAATAATTTCAGTTCAAATATTTTCATAAACTTAATTGAAACTACAGATCACAAGCAAGGATGTAAATGCTTTGTTTCAATTAAGAAAACCGACATTATAATCCTATTTTTGAGAGGAGGAGCTGATTAATACGATTAACATGCACCAGCTCATGATCTATCAAGAGAACATAATTACATAGTGTAATTTGTAGTATATATACAGAGAGAGAGAGAGAGAGAGATTACATGAGAAGTTGACTCCATGATTGTGGGACCTCATGATCTTCACACCAAGAGCTCATCATAGGAATAGAATTAGAGAGCTCATCTTCAGAAGTTCTTCTCAAATTGCTCATGCTCCAACAAGCAGGACTACACCCTCCCATCATCTGCTGCACCAAAGAACTCTCAAAAACACCTCTATTCATTACTGAAAACCCTAAATCTTCCCTTCTCTTTCTTTGTCTCTCTCTCTCTCTATTTCTATTTTCCTTTCATCCTTTCTACTATCTTTGAAGGCCGACTTGCTTTCTTTGCTTCTATGGTGAGAGAAGAGAAAGCTTTAGATGCAAAGCTGTTGTTTACAAGAGGAGTGAGAAGCCTTTACTTTTGTTTCCTTTCCATTCATCTCCTTCTTTAATATTTTTGCCCTTACTCTTTATATTTTTGTTTTTTGTTTTTTTTTTTTTGTTTTTGCTTTATAACAAAGCATGCCAAGAAAGGTGATGGCAGTGTTTTCAGACCAAAGGATCGTTTTCTGGTTGTACTAAGTTGTATTTGATTTGGTTAGAAGTTACTAGCAATGGCTTGCATAAGGGTTGATTCTAAGGAGGTATGGTTGATTAGGTTGGTGAATGGTGGTACTTATTGTTTTGGATGTTGAATAAATTATATATATATATATATATATATATACACACATGGTTACACTACATAACCGTGTATGACGAGTCTCGGCCATCCCCTAATGCGCCTAAGAATTCGAGTGTCATACCCTATATTAGGAAGGAATCGAATCCCAGACCATAGGGGAATTACAACTGACAAGCAGATGTCCGACCCAAATCTGAGTACCCAGCGCAGATATATATATATATATATATATATATATATAAAACAAAAACATCTAAAACTTGATCTCAAATTTTCATCTATCGATGTAAATTTCTTTTCTTGCTTAATTTGATCTCTTATGCATGTAGTAGTAACAAGCATCAATATTCTTACTTAATTCATGATGCATAACATTATTTGCCAATACAATTATCAATCTATTGTCAACATAGGCATTTGCAGCTTCCTTTTGAGAGCTACTACAACAATACATGTAAATAACCTTTGAACTAACCTCCGAAAATTTCAGGCAATTTTTATATTTGAATTATGTTGAATATCATTATAGTCTGAAGTTGCATCGAAAATGTACAAGTCAAATAATTTGTGTCAAACTAATGGTAGAAATGCGCGACGTATCACTTTTCACTTAATAACGTCGGAGTACTAGTAGGTATTTTTGCCACTTAAATTTTAGCATCGACAATTCCAACGCTTAGCAGATGCAAGGCTCTTAATAACCTAATCCCATGCTAGCGACCCTCTCATTCATGCTCTCCCATTTTCTTCACCGTCTCATTAGTGTGTGCGAATTAGTGCTCCGATGACCTTTCAACGATTTTTTGGCAACCCCGTGGTGCTATTTAGTACCGGCGACTTGCGTGACTCTAGTCTCTCGTTTGGTAACCCCATTTGCGACGACCTTTCATTTTTATGAAAAAATTATGTCCTTTGAGTTTAAGGGGTGTTTGGCTGCAATTAAGATTTACGTTAATTAAAATTTAGTAAATACTTAAATCTAGATTTATCAGTTTAAAATATTGTAAATTTAGAATAGTGTTTAGTTGAGTTTAAGCTAAAATCCAGTAAAATTCGTTTGTCGTGTTTGGCATAAATTCATGCTTGTTATTTTCTTCTGAAGCTAAATCTAAGAATTGATTGCTATGTATACCAATTAATGGCTTATTTACATTTATATGTATAAGACCGCTCACGAGCACGTGTTTATGTATATTTATATGTGAAAAGCTCTATGTAAAGCTGATGAGTTAAATGTCTTCATCTTTTAAGTCTATATATAGGTCATTGATGTATGAATATCAAAGATATAAAATCATGGATGTACAATAGGTTGTATCCTTGTTCTCATTATAGAGGATTTTGTGCATCTGTCATCACAATTCTTATTTATCTTTCAGAAGGTTTTGATGCCAATTTGCAAAACACAAAAATCAAGCATATACTCTAGATGAAATCAAGTTGGATTTGTACCATACGGACTTTCAACCTAATTATTTGTATTGGAATGTACATAGATGGTATATATAAACTAGATATTATTAGTATGATCACATTAGTGTTTTATCAAGTTCTGTCCCTCCAACAGAATATGATCCTAACATATGTGAAGAAATGATTTTCGATGCAAATGGAGCTCATTTTGTTGAGTGTTCTTGTGGATGATTAACCGCCGAACAATGAAGTGCATAGATTCTATGATTTATTGAATGTGGTACAATAGCCTTTATGGAATCGTTACACCACACATTCAGTGCTATCAATAACACTAAGAATGTTGAGTATTAAATCAAATTACAATATGCATAAAGAATGCTTTAAACAAGTTGCAACAGCACAGAAGGTGATAAACTCTAATAGAAATTTAGTTTTGGAGGATCTAAATTTAAACAACCACATAATGACGTGCACGAGGAGGATTATTAATGTATTTATCTAGTTAATTAAGTTAACAACTGATTGTAGCTTATAATCACACCTTGTCTTGCATAAGATGCACATGTGTAAATATTAAAATTTAGGTGTTAGATATGTAAATAAATAAGAATTAAGTGGTATGCATGTAAATCTTCGGATTATATAATTACGAGCAATGTGAGCATTATTAAATTAAAGCATGGTAACGTTAATTCTATAATCATATCTCCTTATTTTTCTAATTTATTTCTCTTATTCTCGTTGTTGCTGATTCTTAAACGGGCAAGAAGTTCTAACTTAAGAAATTTATTGGTCTGCAAATCAATTCGGTTCAATTTAAATCTGAGTTTATACATATTAACACCTAAACTTTGCTTTTTTTACGTTTATACCACTTTAGTCTTTATATCACATAAAAAATATTATTATTTTAACTTTTAAAAAAGTGGAACAGCTCGTTGTTCGGCTCGTTCGCTAAATTAACGAGCCAAACACGAACAAAGATTTGTTCGTTCGTGTTCTGCTCATTTTGGCTCGAAATACTAGTAATCAATTATATATATATATATATATATATCTTT